GCGGCATGAAGGAACCAAGACACTGGTAGAACATGCAACAACACTAAGGGCAAAAGACACAGAGGAAGGAGCAACTGTGGCAACTCAATCTGGAGAGACTCGAACAGACAAAACATGGTGTTATTGTATGTATTAATTGTATATTGTCTAACTTACAAATGACTCTGAGGACAACATTCTCAACATTACATTTATTATTGTGCTGAACAGAATGGGGTTAGGATTTGGCCTTGGACCCGACAGAGGCCTGCACGATTGTAGAAGAGGAAAGAGATTATGAGATGAAGTCCCCCTGGGCCTAGAACCTGGTGGTGGTATCTTAGGAGAAGGATGAAGGAGCTGGCTTAGAACGAGGTGGAGATGGGGAGGAGGAGGGTTGTGGTGTGAGTGAAGCTGCTGCTTGAATGGTGTGTGTGTGTGTCTCTGTGTGTGTGTGTGCACTTGTTTTCAACTCCTGGTGGGTTCCATAACCTGAGATTCCACTCACGTCATGGGGACTGGTTTTACGTGGTGGGGCCCGAACACCGGACCCCACTGGTCCAAGCTTAATAATCAATGGGTAATGCTTTTCTAACGGTCCTTATGCAGTCTCTGTAAAAATATGGAAAGGACCCCTGGAGGTTTACTTTCCTGAAAAAAGTGTGTTATGTGTCGGAACCCTGGTGGTGGGTTGCGGGATATCAAGGAGGGGCACACTGGGGCAATTTCAGTCCCAGCAGGCTGGAGCCAATCATGGAGCAGCACAACAGAGGCTGGAGCCAATCATGGAGCAGCACAACAGAGGCTGGAGCCAATCATGGAGCAGCACAACAGAGGAAATCAGGTGTCATGCTAGAAAAGGTGCAAGTGTGTGGTTCATTAGGCTGCAGCCAATCACAGAGCAGCACACTGAAGCGCACGCTTACAAACCACTGGTAAGTGCTGACTACAAGTCATGACTTCAAATTGTAATATAGAATTATTACAAATTATTTGTTGTTTGTGCAGTTTAGTCAAGAGTCCCTAATTGATGAAGTCGACTCAGATTCTGACGATTTAACTGTCAAGAAGAAACCTGTAAAAAAGCATGGAAAAAGAAAAATCTAAAACACTTTTCTTCAAGACTCGGAAAGTGAGGAACCAAAGGCGTTCGAGCATTGGCTCTACCTGTGAAATCTAAAGCACGTAAACTTCAGTTTGATTTGATCAGGAATAGTGGAAACCGTGAGCACAATTTTGAGGTTTTAAAGGCCGGCATTGGAACTTTAGTCCCAGCTAAACAGCCAAATTCCCCAGTTAAATCCAGTGAGTTTTTGCACTGTATAGACTGTGGGGCATTGCTTAAGCGAAAGTTGGCGTGGAGGCATGTGGCCAGGTGCCGGCTTTCACAGAAAGATGCCCAGGCTAAACCAGGCTAAACCAGGTAGAAGTAGGGTCCAGTCCCTCTGCTCCCTAGCCCAGCCTGTACCGGAGGGCATCAGCAAAAAGCTGTGGTCTTTAATTTCGGCAATGCATCAGGATGAGGTCACGGGTGTTGTCAAAGCAGAAAAGGGGATTCTGAGACTCGGAGAGCACCTGTACTTAAAACACGGGCATGATAAGACTAAGCATGATTACATTAGGCAGAAAATGAGAGAAGTCGGTAGGTTAATTAACGAAGCAAAAACCGCAGGGAAACTGAAAACAATTAAGGATTTCTTTATTCCTTCCATCTTTAACCATGTGATTGATGCAGTCAGGTCTGTGGCTGGATATGATGAGGAAACAAATCAATACAAGACTCCATCCTTGGCCCTCAAACTCGGCCATAGCCTCAGAAAGAAGATATTCTTGAATGTGACTCAAAAATGGAGCATTGTGTTGATGAACTATTTATTAAAAACCTCCAACGAAGCCGGCTGTTTTTTGAGAAGAGGTGGGACGTCTGTGTTTCTTCTGCTGCCCTACAGACCCTCCGGCAAGCCAAGTGGAACACTCCGGACCTGCTCCCTCTGACTGAGGACGTTAGAGCCATGCATGCACATATTGAGGTATGTCGACCTGAATATGTGCAAACCCTAATAAGTGAGCCAACGTCTAAGCATTGGTCTAAACTGGCAGTTTTGACTCTTTGTGAGGTCATTATTTTCAATCGAAGAAGGGAAGGTGAGGTTTCAAAGATGCCACTGACAGCCTTTACCTTAAGAAGTAAGACTGGGATCCATTCTGACATTGCTCTGGGACTGTCCCAACTTGAGAAAAAGCTGTGTCAGCATTTTCAACGCATTGAAATTAAAGGGAAAAGAAGTCGGAAAGTGCCGGTTCTTTTGACTCCTGAAATGATTGCTCCGATGGAGGTGCTGGTGGAGAACAGAAGGGCCTGTTCCATCTCTGACCATAACCCATACTTCTTTTCCCGCCCGGGCGCAGACACCCACATCAGGGGATCAGACTCCCTACGCCAGGTAGCCAAAGAATGTGGTGCGGTGCATCCAGAGATGCTATCCTCAACCAAACTTAGAAAGCACATAGCTACTATGTCTACAGTTCTCAATATGAAAGAGAATGAGATGGACATACTAGCCAACTTCCTCGGCCATGACATTCGCATCCACAGGCAATATTACAGACTACCAGAGGGGACACTGGAGCTGGCCAAAATCAGCAAAGTGTTGATGGCCATGGAGCAGGGAAGAGTGACGGAATTCAAAGGAAAGAGCCTCGACCAGATACAAATTGAGCCTGAAGGTAATTCTTGATATTATTAAAATATCCATCCATCCATCCATCTTCTACCCTTTAATCCATTTCTGGGTCATTATTAAAATATGTATAATTTTTTTCCCCTAAAGGCCACCTGTATTTTTATTTTCTGTGCGACAGGGAGAGCAGTAGAGATCCTCTCACAAACGGACGGGCTAAAAGAAACTTCAAGCGGAGAACCTTCAACCATTCATCCAGATGCACCCCATGGTAGTGGCAGTGCCCCTTCTGGTAAGTGTACCAGGTGGGGGATTACAGCCAGGCTGCTTGGTCCTAACCCTGGGAGTGTATATTGCTAATATATTTTTATTTCTCTCCCTAGAACGTGTAAGAAAGCCATGGTCTGCATCTGAGGTGAAGGCTGTGGAGAAGACCATGACACCTTTCATACAGACTGGAAAAGTCCCTGGGAAGTCTCACTGCCTGGCCTGGCAGTGAGACTTCCCAGTCTCAGACTCCCCCCCCCCCACAGCACTTGTCTCTCACTCCACAGAGATGGGAGTGGGGTCGCCGAACAGGAGGCGCATGCCAGACCTATTGTACATATTTTTAGTGGTGGGGGAAACCGGAGTACCCGGAGGAAACCTACGCGGACACGGGGAGAACATGCAAACTCCACTCAGAAAGGCCCTGGTCCGGCCGGGATTCGAACCCAGGACCTTCTTGCTGAGAGGCAAGTAGGGTTAAGTGTCTTGCCCAAGGACACAACGACAGCAGTCATCAGTGGGGATCGTGAAGTAGGTCTTACGGTGGGCTCGAACCCACGACCTTCAGGCCCAAAGGCCAATGCTCTTCCAACTGAGCTACTGTCGCCGTTTACTTAAAGTAGTCCGAGTAAAAAAAATTATGTCTATGGGTCCCATTCTGAACGGCCCTGTCAAAGGGACCCACCAGGTAACAAAAACGTGTATGTGGGTGTGTGTGTGTGCATATATTTGTGTGTGTTCCACAGTTATTAAACACACTACACTTCTGAATCAACACTAGTTTATTTGTAGAGCACAGTTCAAACAGAAGCCAACTCATAGTAAAGATAAACATCCCACAAAGCTTTGAAATCACAGATCCTGAAGAGTTTAGAGTTTTATCCACAGATTCATCACAAAAACATTTGGGTTCAAGCTAAAAAAAATGATCTCGAGAAAACAGCAGTGGACACATTTATAACCAAACTGATCTGAAACTGTATTAAACGATTTTCACCAAAGGCTCAGATTTATCCCAAACTTTGGAACTAAAATCTGTGGTTTGAGTTTAGAGAAATGTGCCGTGGCTCCCAGAGAACCCCAGAGAAACCCGACTCCGGCGTGAAGTGGCTGAGAGAAGGTGGTCTGTTCTCTGTGGATCAGCCTCATGTTTGAGGAGACGTCGTAAAAGGACAAGACCCCAGCACTGTGGTCCAGGAAAACCCCGACTCTGGACCCGACCGGGCCTGAGGCTTTGGTCTCCACTGAGTTAAACCAGAATGAAGGACTAGTTTTGTCACAGACTAAGGCCCAGGATTTATTATTGTATCCAAATCTAGATTCATCAGAGTATCCTTTCCTCTGAATATCTCTGTATGAAACTGTGATACAAACACCACCCTCTGAGCTCCTCTCCACCTCCCAGTAACAGCGCCCGCTCACACTCTCTCTGCTCAGGACCTGACGCCACCCACTGAATCTGTCCTGATGATCTGGATACTTCTGATCCTCACTCATACGTGTCACTCTTCTGTTTCCATCAGACAGAGACAGCCATGTGTGAGCTGTGTTTGTGTCCAGAGTGAAGTCTGTAGAGTACTGTAAGAACTGGTCTCTGGTCCTGGGTTCAGCTGCTGACACTGAAGACAGGACTGGTTTGATGAACTGGGCCTTGGTCTGTGGTTCCGCTGCTGGCACTGAAGACAGGACTGGTTTGATGATCTGGGCCTTGGTCTGTGGTTCCGCTGCTGGCACTATAGACAGGACTGGTTTGATGAACTGGGCCTTGGTCTGTGGTTCCGCTGCTGACAATGAAGACAGGACTGGTTTGATGAACTGGGCCTTGGTCTGTGGTTCCGCTGCTGACACTATAGACAGGACTGGTTTGTAGATCTGGGCCTTGCTTCTTCTTCGTGGACTCTTCTTCTTGTGAGTCCACGAGTCCATGAGTTTCTTCTGTGAGTTTGTGTCTGCTGCAACTCTCAGAGGTCGTGGCTTCAGTGAGAACCCCTCTGTGGTCTGTGGTTCTGTGGTTAAAGTCTGGACCGGACTCAGAGCCAGAGAGATGTTGCTGCGTCCCTCCTCCACTATGAGCTTCAGTCTCTTCTTGAGCTTAGACACAGCTCTGCTCACCTCCTCAAAGGGGCTCCTGGTCTCTGTGAGGCCCCTGACTGGGTCTGGCCCCTCTGTGAGGCCCCTGGTCAGTGCAGTGTGGAGCTGTAGAAAACTGTTGTGGTCTTTGGTGAGGGACAGTGTGTCCAGGTCACAGAGGCGCTGCTGCAGCTCACTCAGCTCCTGCTTCACTCTGTCTTGGATCTCTCGGACTCGGCTCAGTCCTCTCTGCAGCTCGGACTGGAGCTGCTGCTCCACTTCTTTGGCTCTTGTCTCCAGGAGAAGGATGATGTCTCTGAAGCTGTCCCTGCTGAGCTGCAGTGCTGTGTGGGCAGAGGTCATGAGGTCCTGCTCCTGCTGTTGGAGGGAGGTCCTCTCTGTGTCTTTGTGCTGGAGGTCCTGGAGGAGCAGGTCCCTCTGGGCCTCCAGCTGGGCCTCCCTCAGGGCCCTCTCTGAGGCTGAGGACACAGTCTCATGGTCCCTGTGTGTCTCCAGGCAGCAGACCAGACACAGGAGCTGTCCGTCAGAGCGACAGAACATCTTCTTCAGCTCGTTGTGCTCAGAACACATGTTTTCCTGCAGAGTGTGCGATGGCGCCACCAGCTGGTGTCTTTGAAGCACTGCAGAGTCATAGTGAGGCTGTAGGTGGCGCTCACAGAAGGAGGCCACACACTGTAGACAGGACTGGACCGCCTTCAGCTTTACCCCAGAGCAGACATCACAGGAGACGTCCTGAGGCCCACAGAGGTCCTGAGGGTCAGCGAGGTCCTGAGGCTCACCGAGGTCCTGTGGGTCAGCAGGGGGCGCTGCAGGCCCAGAACAGAGGTCCTGAGGCCCAGAACAGGAGTCAGCAGGGGGCGCTGCAGGCCCAGCACAGAGGACAGCAGGGGGCGCTGTCCTCCTCTGCTCCAGTAAAGCTTCTAACAGGATGTTCTTGGTCAGCACAGGCCTGGGGGTGAAGCTCACACGACACTCGGGACAGGTGTAGAGCCGCTGCTCCTCCTCAGAGTCCCAGTGGTCCTGGACACACTTCAGGCAGTAGTTGTGTCCACAGCTCAGAGTCACAGGAGTCTGCAGTGAGTCCAAACACACAGGACACAGGAACAACTCTGTCTGCGCCATCGCTGCTGCTGCTCCTGCTGCTGCTCCTGCTGCTGCTGCTGATACTGCTGCTGCTGCTGCTGCTACTGTACAATGAACTCTGAACAGACTCAGGAGAGAGGGAGGGCCACTCCCTGTGTGTGTGTGTGTGTGTGTGTGTGTGTGTGTGTGTGTGTGTGTGTGTGTGTGTGTGTGTGTGTGTGTGTGTGTGTGTGTGTGTGCTGTAACACACAACACTGTACAAACCAGTTCTACAAAAACATGTAAACGAAACTTATGAGAGATGGGGAGGGGCCCGGCAAACCCTAATGTGTGTGTGTTTTAGTCTCTGTGTGTGTTTTAGTCTGTGTGCGTCTCTGTGTGTGTGTTTTAGTCTCTGTGTGTGTCTCTGTGTGTGTGTCTCTTTGTGTGTTTTGCCAAATGTAAAACGTTTATACTTTATATTTATCATTATTATTTTCCAGATAGAGATGTTAAACTTGTTATTGTTGCTAGAGTTAGAGATAGTGTTTCTAGTACAGCTGTTGTTCATTTATCTGGTGCCGTGGGCTCCTCTTTCCTGTCCTGTAACTTGTGATGCAACACTGACATTTCCCCGCTGTGGGACCAATAAAGAATCTCCTGCAGTGGAGACAGGGCACGGCTGGCTCTGGAAAATGACCCTGAAGTTCCCGCAGTGGAAACGGGGCTATAGAGCCATGTGTCGATAAGGGACAGAGACCAGTGTTCACAAATGTTGATATGCACGTAGTGTTTTTAACACGTAATTCGGGAAATGCTCTGAGTCTTGAGATTTAGAGACTGCGAGATCGTGTCCCTCGGCTTCCTTGTGGGAACTGTCAGCTCGGAGATTGCGACAGTTGGACCGAGTATAAACAGGCACGAGCCCCGTGTTTGTGAGGAAAAATAGAGCTTTTTGACCCAAAAAATATACGTTGGTTGAGCGATCTGTGAATCCGGAAAGGTCGTCCTAAATCAATAACAGGGTCTTTCTAACCCCTGGGCTGATCACCTGGGGAAAAGGGGGGACAGCTATCTGTTATTACGGTGCTCCGGGGTTATGAGTTATGAGTTATGAGTTATGAGTTATGAGAAATGAGAAATGAGAAATAAAAAATGAGAAATGAAAAATGGCCATCCCACACAAAGCGCTTTATATATTGTTAAAAAGCTGGCTGTTTTGTCTTTGTCCTGTCTTGTTATCGTGTATGCGTGTCAAATTATATTCCTGCGTGTTGATCTTATAGTGAAACGTTTTTTTTAGCCATTATATACATTATTGTACAAGCAGATTAAATCTTTGTGTCGTTAATGTTGAAGTCAAAAGGTTGGCTTGAACTTGATTGAAATGAACTTTGAATAGCTGAAAAATTCCTTAAGCTGTTGCTGAAGCTGAAATTAACTTACAGAAACTGTTGCTCTGTATCTCTCCCTGACTCTGCAACTCCATTTGGCTCTGTCCATCTGCCCCACACAGACACACAGACACACACACACACACACACACACAGACACACACACATAGACGGCCCCCACCCTCTGCGCTCCCAGTTCTCCTGTGCTCTGAGTAAAGCAAGGAAACGTAACTTTGGGAGTACGGAAAAAATGTGTGGTTTAGAAGCATTTAAGACAGAATTTGAAGAGCTGGAACGCGCTTCGAAGATGTGGTTGAGGTTTTAGAAGCTTTATGACCTAATTTTATACAGTTTTGAAAATACATTCTGTTGTCCAATCAAACAGAGTCTTGTTTAAATAGCATTTTTGAACTACGACAAGCGGTCATTATTGTGCTGTGAAACATTTTGTCTCTAAAATACAGCTGACTGATTGGTTGAGATAAGGCTGGTTTTCTCCCAAACATTACTAATTATTGCTAAACTGCTATTAAACGTTTCTCTCATTGCTAAATTCTCAATTTGCACCAACACACTGG